GAGGCTTGGCAGAACATAGCTCAGATTTCAGTACCTTTGACAAAATAAAGTTGTGCCACCAATTTGCAGCGGTCCTGTGAGTCACTTTAAACATTTTTTTAAGCATATGGTTTCATCTTAGAAAGATCACTTGAACTGAGGTGGGCAGAAGAATTAAGGGAAACTGAGTTCAGGGGCAGCAAAACTAGCTAGGAGCTTCTGCAATAGTACAGGCAAAATGTAATTAAGGTTGAGTAAGTGACATATAAGAGGTTAAAACCTAGACCCACTGGATTTGATAGAGGAATAAGATTCAGCAAAGGATATCTGAAAAGAAATTGGTCCACAATACGTTTTTTCTCACACTGAGAATAAAGCATTTGGCAAAATCAAGTATACTAGTTTTGACTCTTAAGATCCCTCTCATTTTTCATTTATTTTGATTTCTGCTATTACTGTGGTTAAGCCCCTTCAGAGGCGCAGAATCATTCAACATCTGAATGAGATGCAGAGAATAAGGTGACTTCAGTCAGGGGTGTGATGAATGGTCCTTGCAGAGCAGACCATGGATGGTGCTAACCTCAGACCTTAGAAAAAGACTAGGTATATGACTAATAGTCAGGTTTTAAATAAATCCATAATCACTTCCTCTCCAAGATCTCCACACTCTCCTTCTCAGCTGGTTACTTTCTCTCAGCTTATAAACATAACTCAAGTCCATCCATTTAGAAAATGTTGAAAGCCTTTCAAATATTTTCTCTATCTTTTTTGTGGGTAACTCAGATCTTCTCCTATCTTCACATGCCTGTCTTTCCACAAGGCTCAAATCTGTATCTAGGGTTTAGATCTACCTAACAGAGACAAATCTGGAAGCTGTCTTAAAACATTAAAGATGAACTAAGATTCTTTTCCCAACCTAATCTAGTTGTCCTGTGTCTTAGGGAAAGATGCTCTTCTAAATTCTAACTAGTCACCAGGCCCCATCCATTCTCATCGTTCAAAATCCAGCCCTTCTCCCTATCTTAATTTGGGCTGTTAGATTACAATTCTTTCCCAACTTTAATTTGTCTTCCATATAGAGGACATAGTAGGGCCCTAAATCAAAAGT